CTCACCTTTGTAACGATGTTTAATAAAACCGCATTACTATAAACAAGGCTATTAATAAATCAAAATAATATAATAGAATTATTTTAGTTGTTTTTAATTTCCTTTGGAAAATAATTAGGAAATTTTTACAATCGGGGCAAAAGGATTAATCGCTCTCATTAACTCATTATTATTATTACTATTTTGACATAGCGTATTTGTTTTGAATCAAAATTTAGGTGCATGTGATCCAAACAACTTGTAGCTAAACTAATAACATATTAAAAATAAACCAACCTCATGAATTAAAAATAATTACATTGTTACATTTAGAGTGTCCAAGTCTTCAATATTGCTACAAAATTTCAATTTATACTATAATTTTCTTATATAGCATATAAACTAAACAGAATGAGAAGTCATCTAATTTATAGTGATTTTTAATAAATAGAAATGAAAACTACATTATCAAAAAAATGAGATTATTAATTAATGAGAGAAAATTGAATAATTCGTGATTAACTTGTAGTTTTATTTTGAATCAAATTTGAGGTGTACTAGTCCAAGATATTTGTAAGTGAGATCGTTAATAAAATATTAAAGATAAAAGATAAAGCAAGGGTAGAAATCAACCGTTAATGTAGATTAGTGATTACGTTGGGAGAATGAGAAAATGATAGGAGAAATGAGAGTATTAAGAAATTAGGTTAAAATTAAAATTGGATGGGATAAAAAATGGATGAAAATGAAAGGAAACGTTGCTTCCTATATGGTTATAAATAACCTTCCTCAAAATTTCTTCACCCTCTCTTTTCCTTCTTCTCATTTTCTAAAAACCTAAATAGAATCATGTGCTTATAATAGAGAAAGGCAAACTATCCATTTGGGAAAAACAATTACATTTAATTGTTATTTTAACTAATTAAAAATAATAAAAGTGGAATTGAAAAGGAAATGTTATCAAATACAAAATGTCTTTCCTCCTCTCTCGATTAGAAGTGGATTAGAAGTGGGGCTTTCACGAAATTTCGTGGAAATTTTGTGGAGAGGGAATCTTTCCTGTACCCTTGAATTTTATACTTAATTTTCATGGTATTAAAAGTTCTCCACTATGTTATTTTATCAAGATTTTGTAAATTCATATATTGTTAAATCATTATTTCGTTAATATATTTTGATTTGTAAAAATTATGTTCACATAGTAATTAACACATGAAACTTTACGTGTTAGATTAATAAAATTCAACTTATCTATCAACAAAATTTATTTCTTCAAATGATCGGACCCACATATCTAAATATGTTGATGAAAACCATAATTTAACGAGACACTAAATTTTTAAGAGTAATCACGAATTTTAAAAAATTAAAAGCCAACTAAAAATTTTTTACTATTGTTTTAATTCATTGAAATCATTAAATAAAAATTAGAATTTTGATTTTAGTCCAAGGCCGAGCTGAACCAAATTAATTACGTCCATGTGTTTGGTGGAGAGTATTAGAACAACTAACAACAAAAAGATACGAATTAAAAAGTAATTAAAAACTTTTTGTCCATACATAAATAAATAAATAAATATATATATATATATAATTAGAAAGAATTCCACTCAAGATATACATTATTCTTTAATGGTTGAGGCTTTGAAAAAAAATGTCATAGGTCTTAATTGGTGCATTATTCTATAAAGTCACTGGTTATAATTTCTTTTTCTTTGTTTTGATAAAATGTCACTGTTTATAATTGTTACCTTCTATTTTTGCTATTATTCTCTTTTATCATAGCATTTTTTGGATCTCTTGTGACAGCCCATCTTGGCAAGTTTTAAACTCCAATAATTACATAATACGTAGTGGTTGTCCATTCATTCAAAACTAAAAAATTAATTAGTTAATTTTGTTTTGACTACTGCTTTAATTACTTGGGCCAGAATTATTTTTAAAGTCAAAAGAACAAATTGAATATACTTGTACGAGTGTTTATAATTGATAAATAACAAACTTCAGTGCAATGTCGGTGACGAAATATTTTCGTGGCCGAGTGTCATTTTTTTTTGTAGTGAATCGAAAAATAATATGCAATTTAAGGGTAATTTATAAAGTCTAATCAAATCATAAAGATTAAAATGTTTTTACAATTGGGGCAAAAATCACTCTCATTAACTTATTATTATTATTATTGAACACCCTAAGTGACCTACCTCTTTATTTTATACTTAATTTTCATGGTATTAAAAGTTCTTCATTACTTATCAAGATTTTGTAAACAAAAACTTAATATACAGCTAAATTATTATTTCATTAATATATTTTGATTTGTAAATATTATGTTTAAATAGTAATTAACACATGAAACTTTATTTGTTGATGGATAAAATTAAATTTATCTATCAACAAAATTTGTTCATTTGTCAAATTTTTAAGAGTAATCACGAATTTTAAAAAATTAAAGTCAAACTAAAAAATATTTCAGAGATTAAGAATTATTTAATATATTAACCAAAAATTAAAATAAAAAAAAAGTTGCAGTCATTTTTCTTTTTTCTTTTTTCTTTTTTCTCTTTTAAGTTCATCAATTAAGTAAGAAATTTCAACCACTGGCAAAATCAATTTTCAACGCATGACTGAAAAATGGATTTTTCTTTTTTTGTTTATTTGTAAAATAACAAAATCCATTATGGACCATGAACCAATTAGGTCCCCTTTTCCGATTCATTAAAAGAAAAAAAAAACAAACAATCAAACAAAAATTACGTCATTTTTCTATTTTATCTTTTCCTCAAATGTTTCATAATTAATTTCGTCTTTTACCTAGAACAGTTGTTTTTTTATTACAGGTAGTTCTCTTTCATTTTGGTTATGAAATTCGTCATCATTTTCAACAAAAATTGAATATTCTTAAAATAGAACAAAACAGAGAGGGCAGCTTTTTGAAATAAAATATTCTTCTTAAAACTTCTAAAACACATTCCCTTCAACCCTCCAGCTATTAAATAATATCTAAAAATTAAAATAGAATAGGAATGTCAAAATCATAAAACTATATGCAACGTAATCAAGAATGATAATCATTATTATACATAATACATCATCAAATTTAAGACTAATTTTATGGAAGATGATATAGTTAAAGATAATTGACGTTTCCAAATGCTTCATGAATAACATGCAAGATATCACTTTTCAAAAGAAGAATTTGAAAAAAAATATCACATTATTATTACTATTGTTTTAATTTATTGAAATCATTAAATCAAGGTCAATGTGAACCAAATTAATTATTCATCCATGTGTCTGATGGGGAGTATTATAACAACTCACAATGGATTGAAAACGTAATTAATTAGTTTATAACCTTTAGCCTATTCATAATTTATTCAACTCAAAATATATATATATATATGTATTCTTTGAAAGAATTCCACTCAAGATATACATTATCCTTTATGGTCGAGGATTTGAAAAAAAAAAGTCATATGTCTTAATTGGTGCATTCTATAAAGTCACTAGTTATAATTTTTTTCTTTGTTTTGATAAAATGTCACTATTCATAATTGTTACATTCTATTTTTGTTATTATTCTATTTTATCCTAGCATTTTTGGATCTCTTGTGACAGCCCATTTTTGGTATGCTTGTTTTAATTGGAAAATAACATGTAATTGAAGGATAATTTACAAAGTCTAATCAAATCATAAAGATCAAAAAGTTTTTAAATTTGATCATACACATTGAATTGAAACTTTTAAAATCACATCAACTAAACTAAAATTATGATGAAAGATTAAATATATAATTTTATTTTTAAAATGTGATTATTGGGTTTTTTTTTTTATGATTTGTATTTTGTTGATGTATCAAACTAAACTAAGTCGTATTTTGTTTTTCTAATTCTTGATTCGAGTCGTTTTAACCCAATTAATAGAGCAAGACGATTTTGTCTCGTGACATATTGACCAGCTTGTCGCCTTACATGATCACTATATGGAAATAATGGAAAAACATCATTTAATCAAATAATTAAATCAAATTCATACTAATTTAATTTGAACATAGTTCACTATAGTCATGATTAATGTCTCTTAATCATTAAGGAAATTATCAATCAGACTTAAAATTCGTTCATTTGACAAGAAAAAATGTGAAAGTCAAATAACACATGAACTAGAAAAGTGCCATCATTTAGCATTCAAAAATTTTACGAGATGAAGTTTGGTTGTTATCACAACAACACGTGCAAACAAGTTGAAAATTTGTAGTTCTCCTATTATAAGATGCAAACAAAACACCAACAGAATCTTTACAGCAATGGAATACTAACATATAGCTCACAAAGTGCTCATTCGTTGAAGAATTATAATGAGGTAACCACTCCAATAAATAAAATTTGTTAGGGGTAAAACTAGGTAGAAATTACACGTGACTGCCCCTCTTCTATTAAGGCACGTGTGTTCGAAGCTCAACTCAATCATTTGAGGACGAAGAAGAAGGATCAATGTGTTTAGAAATATAGGACTCAGCTCGATTTCGACATACTAGAAGTGCTGCTAGCAAGAAATCAACTGATAGTTGGTGGAACGCGAATTACTCTAAAAATTGATCTTCTGACTATCAGCCGAAGATCCATCCAACAATAGGTACGAGTGCCGTAATTGTAGGAATACATTTTTCGAAGTTCCCCGTATAAAAGGTGAAATCTCACATTCTCAAAAGTATATAACCTCTATAAAATTCAAGCATGAGTAACCTGAGTTAAGTTTTAAAATTTTTGTTGTCAAACACCACACCGATGCAAGACAAAAATCGTAATATGAACGAAATCATTTATACGTACAAACTTTACCATTATATTTACATTTTAATCATTCTCTTGGCCCTAGTGTAATTTTTGTAACTTTTTTTTTGGTAGGAGAGACAGCCATATCCTCTGTCGAGAAAAAGCATATACAAAAATAGAGTCTGTCCTCACCTTTCAAATTGCGGCAAAACTTTGCAATAACAAAGCCCTCGAAATCAAACAACTCATTCCCTTGTGGCCCGCACGTGCACAACCACCACCGACTCCGAGTCCAGCCCGTCGCGAAACACCGCAGGCGACGATGGAGTTGGAGTGGCATCGGCACGACACATCGGACAGCTGGAGTGGGAGTAAAGCCACATGTCGATACACGGCACGTGATACGAATGCATACACTCCGGCAATGTACGTAAATCCTCCCCCTCTTCGAACTCGCTCAAACAGATGGCGCACGTGCCATCCCCTACTTCCAAATGATCCATTCGCTTCTCGTACTTATGGGCCGGAATTAAATGGACCACCGAATTCTCCGTGCTCCGCGGCGTCTCCAACCCCGGCAGGGAGTGCAAATCACGCGCCGCCGGGGTTTGGCCACCGCCGCCGCTGGGGCGACGCCGGTCGCACCAACAGGCCATGATGCAGTGGTAAATGGTGACGACGATGCCGGCGGAGCCGACGGCGATTAGGAAAATGTCGAGTTTGTGGCTGTAAGCAATGGCTTCGCTGGGTGACATAGGGGGGGTGGCCATTGGGGGAATTAATGGGTTAATTAAACTGAATTACTGTTGAATTATTTGGTTGTATGATCTTTCTTTTTTTTTTTAGGTCACAGGTGGTGATATCAAAGTTAATTAGGAAACTTCCAAAAAATCTGCATTGCAGCGGCGTTATTTGTTAAGAATAATTAATCAGAATTAGCATCTTAGCGAAAATCACAAAGCGCGCGCCTATATTGTCAACACTTCTTGAGTGAGTCTCCATCTCTTGATTTCGAGATTAATTACTAATTTACGCCGAAAAGTGCATAAAAATTATGAAGGGTGCTTTTAGTAATGAAAAAATGTATTAGTATTGTTACCTACCATTTGGCACTTCCAACTAAAAAAATATATATATTGAGTTCGAAAAAAAAAAGTCTTGAGTTCGAATCTTAAAATATAAGAGTCAAGTCATCTTGTTATATACTTATCGAATCCTTCGGAGTATGAAATTTATCGAATTCTTGAAGTCGAATTCTTGAAGTATGAAATTTAAATCTCTTTTCTTTGTGTAGTGTTAGAAAAATGTTATATCTCTAAGCTTTTATATTGTAATCAAAGGTCGACGTGAGATAAGTTCACTTTAATCAGTTTGAACATATAATTTAATTAGTTAAATTATTATTTATCTCTCTTAGAATTCAACTCACAACCTTAGATATATTTTCTTAGCCTCGCTTTGGCATTATTTACCTCACTAAAGATTGGGGATGAATTAAAAAAAAGACTAATTAATAATATATTGATATCAATTAACATTTAAACAGGAGCAAAACTAAAATTAAGTACCAAAGTTTGACTGGAAAACCTGCCAGTGGCATCATTGTAAATTAATAGTTGGGCCGTGGATGTTCATGTAATATCACAAAGGCAAAACAATGACGGCCGAGCATCAGTCCGCTTTCTTGATTCTGTATTCTCGTCTCCAAACACTCCCTCGTTCAACCGCGGTTCGGCGGGAGGATGGAAATTTCCGACGAGTTCACGGCCAAAGCCACCACCTCGAATTCGAACCGCAACAAACCCTACGAAACTAGAGACGGCGGCGAGCTCTCATCCTCCGATAACGAGACCGAAGATGTACTTTTCTTCCTCCTACTCTTCTCTTATTCCGCTCTCCATTCTTAAATTTCTTGCATCTCATTTCGTCTTCTTTGTTCCCAATCCTCTTGAATGCAAAGCTATAGCATAGTTGAACATTGCATTCGTTACTGCTCTACATCTAGCTCCGGTTTCATGGAAACGGAGGCTTCCTGAGCTGGATATGCTGCTCAAGTGGAGCTCCTTGCGTGTGTTTAGCTCAATTCTTACTTGTTTTCTTTCGTCGGTGTGAAAAAATAGTGAGAAGCTATGATACTTAGAAGTTAAAACGATTTCCATCTTCACTCACATCTGTCTCATTTCGGTTGGTGTTATGATGCTCTGTAACGGTAGGGTTTAAAATTTGAGTTGAGTGTACTTTTTTCAATCGATGTACGTTCTATTTATGTTCGATTAATTGTGATGATTTTTCAAATTTTGTGGCCTTTGTTATTCTTGTTATTTCTGGAAATCGGGATCAGCATGTTTTTGTGTCATCGAATTTCTGCTTCTTTATTTTGAGAATTGTATTTGCCGTCTGTAGTAACCATTCCCTCATATTTTCAATGTAGTACGACTTATGAGTAATATTTATCCCAGGCACATCCCGTTTGTTCCAACATGCTTGCTTCTCTTGCACCTCCAGTATCTCCCATTTTTCCTCTGCAAAGTAAATGTAATGTAGCTATTCAGGCTGGTAAGTATTTCCGGGCTTCATTGGAGAGCCACTGGCTCTTTTTATTAACTTCGTGCATAAGTTCATAGTACTTGAACATCGAACTATTCGAAATCTCAACTGATCATAATCCTTTTAGCATCAAAGTTTTTATAACATGCTATTTTTGTTATGCATTGTACTGCACACTTGTATTGTAATTGTATTGAGTGCAGCGTAGTGCTTAAGCATGTTATATGGACTGTATGAATTCAAGTATGTATGGCTTGTAAAATACACTTCAGTGAGCTAAATTGGCAGTTTGCACGTAATCAACTTACCCTTTGGAGCATGGATCCTGAAACTCCTACAATCTTTGAGATTGCTTTAGTACACGAACACTATTGCTCTGCCACTTTGTAACTGTAATACTTAATATGATTACTGTATTTGATGTTAGAGCGTTTTGAGATGTCCATATTCTCATACTGCCGAGCTCTTAGTCAAATCATGCCATGAATTAACATTTATGTTAGATCGTTTATTTAAGTAAAGTCTGATGAAACAATATCTGCCACTTACATAGAAGGCTGTTTCTGGAATTATTGTTCGATCTCTGTTGACATATGCACCCAAACTGGTGCACACGGAAGTTGAGGAGAAGCCTTCATTTACTGTGTGTATTTCAGAACTGAATTGTACAAAGACAGAAAGGCCTTTGATGGGGAGAAATCTTTCCTTGATTAACCTACAGGTTTATCTACTTTCTCCCAACCCTTCTCTAGCTGGCTTGTAATTGTTCCTACCTTGTAGATGCACCTTCTTTGAGTGGTCTGTATTCAATACCGCCTACCAACCCATTTTACTATCAGGAATTTCAGCATACGCAGAAGAGACTTCCAATATTCTTCAACCAGTTGAGCACGTCTTCAATGTTTAGTCTGCCATTGGAGACCATTAAGTGTAGTTTCGACTTAAATGTTGTGATTAATTATGGTAAGCAGGTTGGTATCATTGCTGGTAGCACCTGCTGATAGGTTTATGTTAAAAATGTTCCCCATCTAATTCTCAGGGACTATCCTCACTTTCACCACTGTCTTGTTTGACCTTGCACCCCATTCTCTCTTGGAGATTAAATTTGCTGCTGTAAAGAGACCACAGCAGTGCTATGCTCAGTACCCTGATCATCATAATTCATACACCGGCAGCTGATTGATATATCTTTTTGCCAGTCATATAAATGGCTTTCATACCATACCACGTCTGTGGACACAGAAGTAGAGAGAAACCTTACGTTATTGTTAGTGTTTCAGAATAAGAACTGAATTATATTAAGAGGGAAATGCCTTTAAATAGGTGTTTACAGTGGTGGTCGACTACCTATACAACTGGCAACAAAATCTTACATCTCTGCTGATAGTTGCAGTGACTTGAAGAATGTAATAAAGAGAAGACCTTAAATAATCTTGTAATAATGCTGTTAGCCATCATAAACTACCAACTTCATTGATTGCTAAATCAATTAAGATTGCCATACTAAAAACAAAGTTATGTCCAATAGATTGCTTTGACTCACTCACTTATAGCATCAATGAGCGAGGCTTGTGTGACACATTCCAAAGATAGTACTCCTGGCTGAGCAGGGATTAAGAATCAGAAGCTTCAATGCCCCTAACAGAATTATATTGAGTCAAGGGCATGGAAATCATCAAGGAATGAACTTAAACCATTGTAAGCTCCAGAATTTGTGGAGGAGATAGCTGTTTGGGAAAGCAAACTGAGTAGTTTGTTATCTTTTTACTTGAGTTCCTGCCCAATTTTTTATTATTTTATTTCTTCTGATTAAATCAAGATGTTGCTCTTATAAAAGCTTGAAATGCGTTCTATTGAAATTTAAAAAGTAAAATAAGATTTCCAGACAAGAAACCTTGTTTCAAACTTTTAAGTGTTTTGAATATTTTCAGAGACTTTGTGTCACTCATCTCTTTGTTTCTGTTTACAAAATTCTTCCATCTCATTTTGGAAGTGTTGTACTTGGTACGCCATGCATGATCTTGAAACTGTATACATCTGAACAAATTAATACTATTGCATACTATTTTAGTGGCTCGCTACGATATAGTGTCACACATAAATGCCCGAATTCATTGTAGATATGGATGATAAATTGGAGACAATACAAAATATATGTCAGAAAATTGTGGACACTACAAACTTGTACTCATTTTCTAAATTGGATGACCAGCAAGTATATTCTCTTATGAGGCTGAGGGAAATTTCTCATCGGGTTATCAGTGACCGAGATTCAAGGGTAAGTGAGGATGATCAGGTGGACTAATAACTATTTTTCTTTTAAACCATGGAGATGAGATGTGTAATTAAAAGCATGTTTAATGTGTTGTAGGTGACAAAAAATGATGTGATTAGTGCTATGTGCTCTTACATCAACAAGCTGGTAAGTTTTGCATTGTCAATCACCTTACTGTAGGTAGATCCTTGTTAAAAAGTTGTGGATTGACAGAATATTATGCAGGCAGGTAAATGCAAGGATATTGTTGACCTTGTGAATAGGATGTCAAATAAAGACTTGGACGACCAGCAACTGCAACAATTATCAAGATTAAAGGAGCTTCTATGCGGGATTGTTGATGGGGCTAAAGATGTGGAAACTGAACCTTCCCATATTGTTGAACAGGTAGGGCTGTAGGAATTAGGAAGCAACTTTCTCTTATGTAATATTTCTAGCGAAATCAATTCTATATTTATTGTAAATATGCAAATTACATTAATAGGGCATTGCAAGTGATATGTGGATAACGGAGAGTCTGGAGGTCGAACCAATTGATTCCAGCAATGATGATGTACTTCTTGGAGAGACACAACTTATAATGGTTGAAGATGAACAGGCAGTAGCTGAAGCTAGGCTCGAGAATAAATATTATGACCTGTCACATGTTAAGCACTCTGTTACTTGGCCACCAAATGGTAGCTTAACCTTAGAGTGGGTTCTAGAGTTGATGAAAACATTTGGGGAGTCTTCGAGAAACTACTTGCCCATGGAGTTTCAATTCGTCATGCCAGTTTCTGTGGTAGATGCAATACTAGATGTAGGTGCAAGCATCCTTCACAAGGAACCAAACTGTGTGGAAATTGACTGCCATGGAGAAGTTTCAAATGTTGTTATAGTTGGTGACATTCATGGACATTATCATGACTTGCTTCATCTCTTTGAACTTGCTAACTTACCATCTAAGACCCAGTATTACGTTTTTAATGGCAATTATGTGAACAGAGGAGCATGGGGATTGGAGGTGTTTTTGGTCTTATTGGTGTGGAAGGTAAGATGAAGTCATTTTTACTTGTTATTAATTGTATAGAAGACCAAAAGGTGCAGACAAGCATGCACAACATTAAAAAATCTGGATAAATCTATCAATAGTTTGAATTTGTGCAGTTTTTTTATTTTTGATAAGGATCGTGAGTAAAATTTCAGTTGAAAGTATAACTTATAACTACTGATGTATGTTGCCCTTTTGTATAGCATACTCAATTTTTAATGTGGGTGATTGTTCACTGCTTTTTCTCTTATTTTCTTCATAAAACTGCACCCTTGAATGTGGTATAGAAAAAATATTGTGTCCTCAGAGCAGGAATTGGATGTATAGAATCTAGAGAAGGTAGCATTAATAACATTATTTTCATTCTGAAAAATGCACATCTATTTAACCCCTTAATGCCTCATTTATTGGTGAGGTACACAAAACAGATCTTGATGCCTGATAGAGTATATCTACTCCGTGGAAATCATGAAACCAGAATTTGTACATCGTCCTTCGGTTTTGAGAAAGAAGTAGGGACAAAATATGGGGAGCAAGGTGAAAAAGTATATCACAGGTGTTTGGAAACATTTAAGGAACTTCCTTTGGCTGCAATTATTGCTGGAAAAGTATATACAACCCATGGAGGGTTATTTCGTAAGCCATGCAATCCTGATGTGCAGAATGGCAAGGAAAGGGAGACGCATGAGCTGCGGATTGGATCCTTACAAGACTTATCTAAGCTCGAAAGGTTTTTTATTGATATTCCAACACAAGATGAAGATCCAAATATAATTTTGGCAGATGTATTGTGGTCGGATCCTTCTAAAATAGATGGCTTAAGGAAAAACCAAGTCAGAGGAGCAGGTTTATTATGGGGTCCTGATTCAACAGAAGCATTCTTAAAGCTGTCCAATTTAAAGGTTATACTCAAACCTTGACTTAATGAACATGATTGTTTATGAAGAACTTTTTGCATGGCATTTATGGTAAATTCAGGCCATTTTTACCTTGAAAATTTTATAGGTTCTATGAGTTGATTTTGGATATGCAAATCACAAATAATTTCATCTCTATTCTTACTTCCTCTCCTCATTTACATGTGTGCATATATGTAATTATAGAACTTTTTGAATCTATATACCAATTCATATTTACATCCTGGTTCTGAGGATCTCCTTTTTAGTTTGTCAGAAAAGAGAAATAGTTAAGCGAAAGAGTCGAGCTTTGATCTCGTGAGTTATGCTTGAAAATCAACTTTACAAGTTATATGATATTGAGCTGACATGTTTTTTCCCTTCCAAATGTTGTAGTTGATCATTAGATCACATGAAGGTCCAGATTCAAGGGATGGTAAGATTGATTTCGATGATATGATAATGGGATATAGCACAGATCACGACAGAGAATCAGGAAAATTATATACTCTATTTAGTGCTCCAGATTTCCCACAGGTATCCACTCCTTACTATCTCTGGTTTTCATTTTTCTTGGAAATCACATCATATTTTAAGGTAATTCTAGATCTACTTAACAAGGAAAACAAGGTAGTGTGTGTAACTTCCCCTTTCTATCAATAAAGGACTGTGTTTATTGTTGAACTTATTTTATGGGGTATGAGGTACAATTTTCTTGCACATTGAAATAAACACTTCTATATTCTGAATGGTAATGTATGACTGTGACCTGATGTTAGTATGTGAATCTTATGTACAATACGTGCTTAAAATCAAGAATTGAGGAAAACTTTATGGTTTTTAATCTGTTGTGAACGTTTCTATATCATATTTCAAACAAGTCTTGTTAGCTCTTCTGCTATGTACTCCAGGCCGGACTGTTTTGCAGGAATCCCAAAGCTTCCGAAATTCTATATCTGTTTTGTAGGAATGTAAAAAACCTTACATTCTCTTCCCTTCTTATTTTTATTTTATACTAAAAATAATTTGAAAGAAGTTAATGTACTTATATACTTTTCCATTAGTATATGAAATTAATATATCTATAGTTACATTTTTATACAAGATACATTTCAATTGTATAATATCTAAATGGCATATTAAATTAAAGTAAAATTCAGTTGAGGGTTAAATTCATATACAAGATTTAATTGGGTTAAGTTGGTAGTCACTCAGATTTGTACTAGATGAATATTAGTTACTTTAGATCAAAATTAATATGATTAAATATGAAATTCATAATAAAATATTGAATTAAAATAAAATTTTAACCCAAAAAATGAATTAAGCGTTTGGTATAATATAATATAACAAAGATATTATTGGAATGATATGTAATTGCAATGTGAAACCATGAAAAATCCTAAAGCCCACAATACAGATATCCAAAATATTTCGAGTATCCCTCACAAGGTTTTCTTGCAGAGATGAGCGAAGTCATCCAAGGATCAAATATGTCTTGATTTTTTAGCATCTAGATGTTGGACATTTAAATTTCCAACGATCAAATGACCCTAAGTTTAAGGTAATAGTGGGGTGGTAATAATAAAACAACTATTGATCCATCTTTCGCCCCCTCGGGTACTGAATTAAAAGACAGTTCATTCCCATTGACAAGGCTTTTTTTTCTCTTGAAAAATTATAGATTTTTCCGTACTGCTAATATTCCTTTTCCCGTCGATATATTTGCACTTCTTTGGTTGTGGACACATGTTCTTCTATGCATGACAGATTTAATTTTTTTAAACAATTGTGATACTATTGGATGTTCGTGTGTTATAATACCCTCCTGCATTTGATATGAATAAAACCTTTTGAAAATGGGTGTATGACTTCTCCCCTTCTGGATGTTTTTCAGTTTGGCAGGAAGAGTTACAATAATGAGGGAGCATATGCCACTTTGAAGCCTCCGGATTTCGAAACTCCATCCTTCCATACATTTAAAGCCGCAGATAAACCGAAGGTATATGCATCTATGTTCTCATCCCTGAAGGAACAATTAGAATTTGACTACATAAGGCAGAAAAGATGAACAAAAGAGATTTGTATGAGATTTCATCTCTGATTGGAATGTTAGGTTCATGGACTTCAAAAATACAATACTGCATGCTAGGGTACGGGTAGAATTGATCCTTCTAGATGCTTCTAGGATACTTGTTTGATTACTGGTTAGCGGTGAATAATCTAGAACAGTAGTCAGATTTATTTTTGCTCCAGCATTTCTAATTCAATTGCTTGGTTTTGATCCACAGATAAATGTTTGCTATTTTGGTTGTGAAGGACATGATGTAGATTTAGACTTGACATTAATGGTAAGTCGGCTCTAGATTATTCAGAATATAAAGCCAGATAATATCTATATTACCTGAACCCTATGTTACATACAGGCTGATGCATGCATATCTCTCTACACACATAATACCGTATCTTCTTGATGAATGGGGAGATGGCAGATATAGGGATACATAGATTTCATACAGATTTGAGTAATTGCTCGAATTACTAATGAAATAGAATGACATTTACCTATCTGATTGTCTTGCACGTGCCGTATACTGACCAACCACCATTGTTGATGCATTATTTCTTGAACTAAGCATTTCAATATTGATCCATATTGTATCCATTAACCGTCTCAAAAAGGTTAAAGGGTGCTGTTGTAATTAACAGCTTTTACAAACAAATGCAGTTAGTTTGGTCAATCCATTACTGGACTTAGAAGCCTAATGTGAAAATTATTTAGCGTGTCATTTATAAATTTTTGAAGAGCCTGAAGCTGTTAGTGGTCGTCGTAGAAGAAAAATTACTTTTCAAAGTGGTGATTTGGTGCTAATAGTCTTTGGGAAGTTCAGGGTCCTTGAGCCCACTGGTCCCTTCACTTCTTGATATAGTATTCAAAAATCAAAACAGTGTCTTAAATATCAGCTTCCGGTCACTTATGTTGTTTTTCTGGTGTCTCTTATAGGCTCTGGCTGACGTCGTCTCTTCTAAAAACTCTAGTCCTGTTGAGATTCATTCTGGGGTTGATTTTGAGGCATTAGGCATAGTAAACCCACCTTCTTGGAGCATTACATTGACAGATGATGCTACAGGTACCCAAAATGTTCAAATTCCGAAAGCTCCCGTGGTAGAAGGGCTGCCTTTGCCACCAAACATAGAGGTGATTGTCTCCATAGGCATGAAGTTTTACTTACCATTACCTATATGATCTAAAGCAAGGTATTTTCCTAATACAGGAGCCTCACAAGGCTGCTTATGAATACTTCTTGGAGCTCATTGCAGGGCTGAAATTTATGCTTCAAAAAACGGTTAGTAAATCAAATAACTTCTTCTGTTACGTTTTTAATTTGAGAAACTAACAACGGTCGGTCCTAAGCAGGAAAATACGAACAATATGCACATACCTCATCGGAAGAGGAAGAAATTGAATTAGACTTGTGAAGAAATTGAACAGAAAATCTGGTGATGATCTTTTGGTCTACTTATCTACTAATTTATTTCTTTCGACTTAAAATTTTCAGACGTTGCGCCTTTGGGTTTGGGGACAGGAAAATGATGTTAGTCTAACAAGAATAAACTTGCTTTCCACAGGATCGGTGAACAAATGAAAACATCTCTGCTTATTTTGCAAGTGGTAAATTGGATTGACCATGGAGATGATTTAAGAGTTGAAGCTTTGTTTGCATCCATCCCTCTTCACTCTCCTTGCTGTATTGATCTGATCTTTCCTTCTTTGTCATATCAAAGGACAATGTTGAGAAGATCGAGAGATGAGATGAGATGATGTAGTGGAGCCGAATGATTAATTTATTTCTTGATTCTTTTCTATGCTTCCAAATGTTTGTACATTTCATCTCAAAGAAGTCCAGTCCCAACTCAAAAATTCGTGATACCCCATCAGAAGTTTCCATGCTCGCGCTTTGAATAATATGACCATTTACCATTGTTGATTAGTATTCAGAAGACCTAAACTAAAATGACAGTTGACACTGACACAGCTCAAATGGGAAAACAAGACCTATCACGAGATGCGTAGTGTAATATTTAGTAGCTTTTTTCGGAGCATTTTCCCACGTCTTCACCGAAAAAAATATGAAAATTTCCTGATTAATCTTTCAACATTAGAAAATTACACGATAATATCAATTATTAAGGATTCAAGGGAACTATTTGCGTTTGTTCCATAAAATCTCACTCAAAACTCTAAAACTTGTGATCAACTGTGAATATGTTTCTATTCATACGAGAAACGTGCAACATATGGAACAGAGAAAACATCAAGCATTGTATACTAATGGCAATGGATAAAAATTGTTCAAACAAAAACTGCTAAAATCGGTCGGAAAGAAAAAACCCAAAATATATGATGCATAGAAGAAACAGTACTCCATCGCCTCGAACCTAAATTGAATCAAACAGAAAAAAGCATATTTAGTCGACTTCCTCAATTTTGGGACCAGCGCCGCTGCCGCCTGCTGGTGGGGGAACATCGTCATCATCCATGCCAGCACCGCCCATGCCGCCGGCACCACCAGCACCCTGGTACATCTTGGCAACGATTGGGTTGCAAATGTTCTCCAGCTCCTTCATTTTGTCTTCAAACTCGTCCGCCTCTGCAAGTTGGTTGTTGTCCAGCCATTGGATCGCCTGCTCGATCGCATCCTCGATCTTCTTCTTGTCTGCTGGGTCCAGTTTAGAGCTAAACTTCTCATCCCTCACAGTGTTCCTCATGTTGTACGCATAGTTTTCCAGCGAGTTCTTGGATTCAACCTTCTTCTTGTGCTCTTCATCGTCGGCCTTGTATTTCTCTGCTTCCTGGACCATCTTCTCAATCTCCTCCTTCGACAACCGCCCCTTGTCGTTGGTAATTGTGATCTTGTTCTTCTGGCCGGTGGTCTTATCCTCCGCAGAAACATTCAGGATACCATTGGCATCAATATCGAAGCAGACGGTAATTTGAGGAACACCTCTAGGGGCCGGAGGGATTCCAGAGAGCTCAAATTTTCCTAGCAAGTTGTTGTCACGGGTTCTTGCCCTCTCTCCTTCATAGACTTGGATCAAAACTCCGGGTTGGTTGTCGGAGTAGGTAGAGAAAACTTGTTCCTTCTTGGTGGGGATGGTGGTGTTCCTTGGAATTAGGACAGTCATCACACCACCAGCCGTTTCCAGTCCAAGGGACAGAGGGGTGACATCCAGAAGCAACAGATCCTGAACCTTCTCGTTGCCCTCGCCGCTCAGAATGGCGGCCTGGACTGCAGCTCCGTAGGCCACAGCTTCATCAGGGTTGATACTCTTGCAAAGCTCTTTGCCATTGAAGAAATCCTGCAACAACTGCTGCACCTTGGGAATCCTAGTAGAGCCACCAACAAGAACCACGTCATGAATACTGCTCTTGTCCATCTTAGCATCTCTCAAGCACTTCTCAACGGGTTCCATACACTTCCTGAAAAGGTCCATGTTGAGTTCCTCAAATCTAGCACGGGTAATGGTTGAATAGAAGTCGATTCCCTCGTACAGAGAATCAATCTCTATTGTAGTTTGAGCTGTGGAAGAGAGAGTCCTCTTCGCCCTCTCACAAGAAGTTCTCAATCTCCTAAGAGCCCTGGGATTCCCACTAATGTCTTTCTTGTTCTTTCTCTTAAATTCCTGCACGAAGTGATTAACCAATCTGTTATCAAAATCCTCACCACCAAGATGGGTGTCACCTGCCGTTGCCTTCACCTCAAAAATACCTTCCTCGATCGTGAGCAGTGAAACATCAAAAGTACCACCACCCAAATCAAAAATTAGAACATTCTTCTCACCGGAGCTGGTAGCCTTCTTGTCAAGACCATAAGCAATGGCGGCAGCAGTTGGTTCATTGATGATACGCATCACGTTTAGGCCTGAGATGACACCAGCATCTTTGGTGGCCTGTCTCTGTGAATCGTTAAAGTAGGCTGGGACAGTGACAACGGCATTCTTCACCGTTGTGCCCAGATACGCCTCAGCAATCTCCTTCATCTTAATGAGCACCATAGAAGAGATTTCTTCCGCCGAAAACTGCTTCTCCTCACCCTTGTAGTTCACCACAATCATGGGCTTGTCACCGGCACCGGGGATAACTTTGAATGGCCAGAGCTTAATATCACTCTGGACCGATGAATCGCTAAATCTTCTACCAATTAGACGCTTCGCATCTGTCAACATGCAGAAGAAGCGCATCAATTTACAGCTCTAAAAACGCGAAACAAACAAACGAGTAAGTATAAAACAACAGAAGTAGAAAGACAACTAAAATAGCTTCAAGATCCATATAGGAAAGAGTGCACATCATGTCGCAACATCAATGCTAATCAACCATTTAAAATACAGATCGAAAACCTAGGACTCAGAAAACCACAATCATCATAATTGATAACCATTTCCAAGACCCCGGGTTCAAGATCTCAGATCTCATAAACATAACCTCGACTCATCAACGAGAACCAACAAGAAATGACAACCTAATACTATTTTAAAACTCCGAAGAAAAAACCTAATACTGTTCCTGAAGAACCAACTTCCAAGAACTACATCACTAAACCGCGTAGCTTAGGAGACTAAAAAGGAAACTAAAAGACTTACCGAAGACGGTGTTGATAGGGTTCATGGCGACCTGATTCTTGGCCGCATCACCGATCAGGCGCTCGGAGTCGGTGAAAGCAACATACGACGGCGTCGTCCGGTTGCCCTGGTCGTTGGCAATAATCTCAACACGGTCATGCTGCCAAACTCCGACGCAAGAGTACGTCGTCCCAAGATCGATTCCGATCGCCGGACCCTCTCCTTTACCGGCCATAGCTCTTCTAGTCGATCGGAAAAAGAATCAAAATGAAAAATCGAAGGAAAAAGAAAAGAGGGAAACGGAGGCGATGAGAAGATTTAGGGCAAAATTGTTAAGAGTGAATAGAGAAAGAGAGAGAAATGGAGAGTTTATATAGAATTTTGGAAGGGAAAAAAGGTTCTAGAGAGTTCGAATGGGAAAGATTCGGGAGCGCCGAAGTTTATGGTTTGATACCGTATGAAAACACGACGCTTACTTTTCTACTCCTCTAGTTGGTTCCAGATGTTTCTTTTCTTTCCCTATTTGTTTTTTTTCTCTCTTTTTAAAATTATTTTTATTTTTGTTTTTGTTTTTAGGTTTAATAAATATTTTTTTAATTTCCTCTATACTCTGAGAACTCTTTTCTACTCTCCCATTTCTACTCTCCATTGTGATTATTTTGAAAGGTTTTGTTTTAGTACGTATAATTTTAGAAGGTATCTTTCATTTTCATTTGTGTCTCGTCCATGACTATTATAAGTTTGCATTGAAGGATACAATCATATAAAATTTATGCTAAAATTTCGTAAAAATAAATCAAAATAGTCGGTTTTAAGAGGATAATAACCAAAATTGACGTTCTAAAAATGTAGAGACTAAAATAAATAAAAATTTAAATTAGATCAACCAAAATAAATCTATTGAAAATAAATGTACCAAAATAAATCTAAGTTGAGAGTAAAGGGACAAAAATAGTATTTAAATACTTTTTATATTTTAAAACTTTTTAGGTTGGTAATTGATGTTCTCTTGTGCTTTTTTTCATAATATACTAAACTGTACTAACTAAATATAAATATCAAAAAGGGCATTTGGTCTAGTGGTATGATTCTCGCTTAGGGTGCGAGAGGTCCCGAGTTCAATTCTCGGAATGCCCCATTGTAAATTCTTAATATTCTTTTTTCATCAGCTTCGTTACTTGGGCTCGTTGGGCCTACTGGGCTCCAAATCTCGCAGTGTTTGTTTCATAGATAATAATAAGAGGGAAAAAATCACTAAAAAGTAACTCTTCAATTGAAAAATAATTTTAAAATTTATGATTTTTTAAAAAAATTTATGAATTTTAAGCTATGGCTAAATTATCGATGCAATATGTGATAATTACTTCTAAAAATGCCATTTTTACAACTTTTCTGAAAAAAACATTTTAAATTTTATCTTTACAAATTGACTTATACAATATAGGGGTGCACAACCAAATCGATAAAACCGATGAAATCGAAAAATCAAACCGAAACCGAATTGCATTTTCGGTTTTTACAGGTTTGCGGTTCGATTCGGTTTAATAAAATAGTCAAATCGAAATTTCGGTTCGGTTTCGGTTTCAAGAGTCGAAAACCAATATTAAAACCGAACCAAATATATAATTAGATATATATATTAAAATTTACTTTTATTTATATATATATTGATATTATTATTATTATTTATATTATACAATATTTAAAGGCATGACACAGGTGTCAATACCACCTCGAGTCCCTCTTTGATTTAATGGCCGCTGGCCGGTAGTTTTTCATTAAATTTTTTTTTTAATTTTTTTATTCACTTTCTTAAACCTTTTTCATTCTTTCTTTTCTTCCATTTCCCTCCCCTTTCTGTTTCTTCCTTCTCCCATTTTCCTCCCTTTTCTTTCTTCCTTCTAAGTTCCTTCTTCCTCCCGTTGCCAGCCACCAACTCCAACCCCTTTGATGCACAAGTCAGACTTTGGTGAAAACAAAAAAAGAGTGCACTTGAAATATACGCCGCTTTTCTAGCCCAGAAACCGACTAAACCGAACCAAACCAAACCGAATTTTTGGTGCGGTTTATGCGATGCATGCGATTCGGTGCGGTTTGAAATTTTCTTCTTTTCAGTATTCGATTTCGGTTTGGTTCTAAAACCGAACCAAACCGAACTGTGAACACCCCTAATACAATATGGATAATGATCTGAAGCTTTGTCATCCATATTCACGCCAAAATAGATTAATATATGTCAATTTTATTTTTTAGTAGAGAACCTCTCCATTTTAAGTATGCTGAAAATTTTCAATGACACTTGAAAAATATCTGTGGAAAAAAAAAGAGTAACTACTGACAAATTTTTTGAAATATCATCTAATAATTAGAATTAACAACTTTTTATATGTTGGTAGTTTAATTCAAATAATTATTGCAATTTTTTAAAAAAATATTAACCTTGCTTTTTCATATTTCATTATCAGCATCGAACTCTGACTCAAAAACTCTCACACTCACAACAACAATGACAAAGAAAAAAAAGTCTTGACACTTTTTTTTTAGTTTCAACAAATGGAGATTCGATGACGTTTTGCTAAATATTTATATCTCAATTTGCACAAAGTTAACATTTTAACCACCTATCAACACTGAAAATAATGTCAAATCTAACACATTAGTCATAGATATTAAATTGTGACTACTGGCTACCAACAAACTCAAATAGTTATAGGATTTGTGAGTTAAAGTTTAAATCCCAAAAGTTCTCAATAAAAATAAAATAAATCCCAGAAGTTCGAATCCCAACCCAAATTTGTAATGCTATATATTAATCACAATATGACTGGATCTAAATTGCAGGCTTGCAGCACTATGCATTCTTCCATAACACCCTGTTTGTGTATACATTTTTCTCGAGGAAAATTGTTTTTCTAGGGATTTCAAACCATTAGAAAAAAAAAGGGCGAAGAAATGCAAACCATTAGGAGAAGAGATTCAGAAAGGAAACTGTTGAAAATTGCAGTTCACCAAAAATTTAAGGAGTTAATGGATTCAAGTTGCAAACAAATTTGAAGGAACTCAAACGGGGCCGTAGGAACTCAATCAAATACTGAACTGAGAAGGCCATCAATCACAGAACCATGAAAATTTAAGAGAATAAGTTATGATTCCATAACGAAAGGTTGCTTACATTGATTGTTGCTGTTGCTGGGAGAAAATTCTCATCGAAGAAAAATAAAACCTAACATATCAAAACGATCTCTACTCCTAACAGTAATGCACTTTGCCTGTCAATGTAGGCATCTGGATCGACGAGATCTCACCTCAGTTGCCTTCATACTTCGGGTCAGCCGTCACGTAATGGTAGGCAATCACTAGAGCAAAGATAAAAATGCCAAGAAAATTGGCAAGAAAACCTAACATCTGATCGTCAATCATCTGCGCAGCGAAACAATTTGACGGAAATTAAATTCTTCGAACACAAACGATGATTTCAATTTTCAACGCAGCAAACTGGAAATTTCAAATTCTTCAAAAACTAGACATCAAGACGTAGTCATTCACAGGCAATTTGGAAGACCGATTCACAGGTCCAGTCCAGATATTAATAATCCAATTTTGCTAAGAAAAAACATCTAATCCTGAACCAATAAACCCTGATAAAGTCTTCGAATCGAATTTCGAGAGGGAGAGAGGAAATGGTGGGAGGAAGACGAGCGTACCTTCCGATCTGATCGATTGAGAGAGAAACACGAAGACAGCAAAGAGATCCGACGACGAAATTCTTCGAGATGCAGTAGACTATGAAAAAGAGCCTCCTTTCTTTCTTAATTTCCGTAGCTCTCTCTCTCAAACGAATGTTTGGGCCCCAGCCCATTTCTTTAGGGTTTCATTATTGGGCCTACGAACTTCATTCAGTCCAACAAGATTTCATCAATAAGGTGGCCGGTGGCCAGTGGGTGACATGCACTAAATTTTTTTGTGTTCTTTTTCTTTTCTCCTTCTTTCAATATCACCCTCTTAATTTTTTTCTTAGTTTAATTATTCTAGGGTGAGATTCCACTTTCAATTTTAAGAAAATAATATAAATTAATTGTATCTTATTTACTAGACCATATTATTTACCATGCAAAATTAGTCGATATATGTACATAAAATATGTTACGTTATCATTTAATTAACGATATTTTTTATGAATATTATTATTTATAATAACAAATTTATTAATTGGAAATTTTAAAGTGTAGCCACACAGATCATCATCTGAGGTAGAAGCTAAATTTGTGCTTAAATTCTTCAAACTTTAGTTTCCACTTGGCCTGTTGAGGACTGCATGAAGCTGAATTTCAAATGGAGTAGCAATATCACTGCCAGCTTGTAATTACTGTTACATAATTGGAATTTGCATGTGATCCACTTGTAATTTAAGAGCAGGTGCCACACTGACGTGGCATGCCCAGCTACCAAAATCCACCACATTAAAATGTGACTTCGAGCCTCATTCCACACTGAATTTCTATATTGTTGTGTTTTTAATATGACATGTGAAATGTGTGAACCAATTAATCTATGCTCAATTTATTTTATAATTTGAAAATGTTGGACGATTAATTAATGTTGTACTTGCATATACGAGCCTAATTAAATACAACAACATTTTGAATTTGTGAATATAGAAAATAATAATAATACTAAAATTCAACCCAAACTCATTCGCTTAAAAAAACAAAAATAACTTCTTACGGTGCCTCATGTCTTAATACAAATCAACCTTTAATTAATATAATTGTGTTCAAAAAACTTCAAACCACTCCAAGTAGAACTTCATCTACTCTTGAGAGTTACGACTCTGATTCCTAGGTTTTTTAGGCAATGTTTGGAAGGCTATATATAACATAGTTTATTCATTTTCAAGAAGTAGTTTGAGAATTTGAAATGTAGAATTCATAATTATTGAACCATAAGTTTCTTATTTACCTTATCTCTATTTTAAAATGACATGTTATAATGATTCAAGTAGTATCGATCAAGCTAATTTGTGGAATGACTCAAATTTTAAATTTAGAAACAAGTTTTATTTATTCTTGATCGTGAAAGTAAATTCCGTTCTAACATTTTCTTAATCATGAGATCAACCATGATTTTCAGACATCTATCACTAATAAACGAGGTTACAAATCATAATTATGTTGCTATATTTAAACATAGGAACGCCATTAAAATTTTCCTTAATTAATAGTCAAAAAGTGGAAGAGAAAACAAAGAAAAGAAAAAAAGATCAAGATGAATGAACACAGTGAGGTGTTATCTACAGTACCATCGATCCAATTCCAGACGACACCCCTATTTCCGCGAAACGTAACACTCTCCAATTTCATTTTCAACTGAGTTCTTAATTTCCGATTTTGGGTCCCGCGATCTTCGGTTATCACCGAAAAATCTCACGCCCTCCTCGCTGTCTATATAAATTCCAAAGCGAAAGAAGAAAATCGAAAGTCCCAGATTTTGATTTGTTTAATCCAAGGTAAAAATCTTGTCATCGTCGAGTCTCCGTAGTCGATTGCAGGTTAAAAAAATCACTCATCAAAATTTTTAAAAAATTTTATTTTTACGAGAACGGTGAGCTCCTCTGAGATTTAGATCTGAAATTGTTTGGTGGGTAAGAGCTCACTTTCTTCGCAGAAAAGCTTTCCACTTTTCGTGTTTTTGAAGTTTTTTCTCACTCTCTCTCCCTTCAAGTCGTTGCAGTTTGGTCTAACGATTCTTATATTAAATTATTGTGTTCATTTTTTAAACACCCGCTTATTTGTATCTATATAAAAAGGCATAGGCAGCTGCTAATATCTTCATCCAGTAGAATCAAAGCTTAGATTTTGGGGAATTGCTTTGAACGGTTGGCTTTTTNAGAAAAAAGATGAAATAAAATATTGGCAACCAAATCTTCAACAAAACCCCAAAGGGTAAAAGAAAAGTTAACACACAGGCGATGGACACAGCTGGATAAGAGACATAGAGAGGGAGATTACGAGAAAAGAGAAAATGGAAGCAACGGCGATTGTCCAGTAGCGACCCACATAAGCATCGGAGAGAAAGGCGCCAATTAGAGGCGAAAAATTGGTAACGCCGGTCCATATGCCCATCAAGCTGGTGGCAGAAACTTGATCCATGTGATACACTTTTCTGAGATACACCATGAAGTTGGCCAGTAGCCCCAGCGAAGCCAGCCTCTCGAACGTCTCATTTCCTGCCAATCCCCAAAACGCTCAGTACTGTCAGAGAAAACCAACTATTATACAACTATGGAGAAATTAAAGAGAGATGAAATAAGAGACCAAGGATATAGGGCATGGACTTCCATCCGCCGGGCTTTCTTGGAGTTTTAGCATTAGATTTGGTGTGAACGCCATTTGTGGAGCATCGAGTAGTGGAGCAATGTAAGGCGCTGGGGGGGGAGCTTGAAGCTTTGGTGTGAGCCTGAGCCTTACCCTCAGTCTCCATTTTCTATGTCTCTGGCTCTGGCTATCACTTTACTTTATAGGGCGTGTGAGGCTGTGGTGTGTTTGGGGTGAGATGAGGAATAGGAATAATAATGCGTGTACTGTAGCAGTAGCTCCTACTGCTATAGTAATACAATACAATAATATGGTAACATTTTTTTAATTAATGCATCAGACCAAAGCAACAGTGGAAAAGATGAGGTTCACAGGAAATGGAGATGCATAAGCATAACGCAGAGTGGACCAGAGTAAGAGAGATGAAAAAGACAAAACGGAGTGAAAGTTGCAAAATAACTCTGCTTCTTACGACTCGAAAGAAAGAGAAGCGAAGCCCAAACTCTCCGTCGGGCCTCCACTTTGATGTGTTTTTGTTTGCTTGTTTTTTGACGCGTTTAGGCAACTTCCGATCCCAGTCTTTGAGCCGTCGACGAATGCCTCACCGCTGAAGTTGAAGCTCTTTTTCCAACGTGTTCCATTTCCAGACTCCCACGCCACGCGTTCATATTTTCTCTCCCATTTTTTTCAAAATAATAATAATAATAATAATATAAAGACCATTGTCTCATGTATCCATAATTAAATCGAATCTCCCCAACGTGAATCTTTCCGTCCATCAATCACGTCCAATTTAACAGTTTAAAATAAAGCAACGTCTTTTTATTAAATTCCACCCATCAAATCGAATATCCACCAATAAAAACTAGGACATTAATTAACATCAAGATTAGTTTAAGTTTTTGTCACTTTAATATACCTTTTCCTAATGTTTTTGTTCTTTTCTATGCCCTTCTTATTAATGGATCTTTTCATGCGTCTGATTAACATTAAGATTTTGACTTTAAACTTTAAAGATAATTTGATATGATATTAGATTATAATGGAAAATATGAGTTCAAACTCCAACCATTAATATAAATTTGCTTTTTATTCAATTAAACACAGTAGGTGTCGGACTGCACCGCATATCAAATATTCAAATTCTGCCAACAATATATTAGTTAACGAAATAATTTTTGCCTACTCCAGTCTAGCTAATGGATTTAATAGTTTAAATAAATCATGCAATAATGGTGCTTTCCTATATTAATTGGCCCAATTTCCCAGGATCCTCCGATTTATTTATTTTTTTTAATAAAAAATCATTAAAGTGCGATCACCCATCAAAATACTCTTGATAATGGTAATTAACTTTTACCAAGTGATGTAGTAGGACGAAAAACAAACTTTAGTCAACATCGTGTTGATTTTCTGAAAAGTTACAAATGTTGTTATGATTTTAGTTTGATTAACTTGATCATTATACATTAATAAATATTGTTTTTACACGTGTATAGTTTGTTGTTCACACGCATGTTAAATTATAATGAATTGGGATGAGAGGGCTAAAGCATGGTTGTCTTTAGGCTGAAGTTGGGTGGTTTTTTGTGTATATATTTTTGAAGTCGTGTACGTCACTCATTTGGTTATGCCCATTATGGCACTCGTATAGTAAGCTTTATACATCTCTAGGAAAAAAAATTGTTCTATAGTACATTCATTGCTATCAAATTGCCTATAACAATATTCTATCTAAAATACTTTGGGCCATGTAAAAGTCAATATATGAGATTAATTTGATTGTTGATGATGCCAGGGATAATGTTAAGTACAAATATGTGACCCCTTTATCAAGACACGCTGATCGAGGACGAGAAGAAAGGGCCCACGTGCCTTAAAAGAAGAGCTAAGTCCAACTATAGATCGAGGGACAATTTTGACTTGACGAAAAATTTGATGACATTTGATGAAATGATCTTTGAATTATCGGTAAAAAATTCACTGAATGACATGTGTATAATCGTACAGTTCTCAATTCTTCCTTTATATAAGAGGCGGAGTCCCACATTCTAAAAGCTCAACTCGTTACTAATTCGGACTAAGCTTTACCTTAAGCTAATTTTAAAATGTACAGAACCAAGTACCGCATCGATATAAGATCTAGTCTATGGTTTTACTTCCTCTCACTCGAATGGAGTTACTCACACCGGCCCGGTGCGAGAGCAAGAGACATAATATATATGTATGACCAAAGATTTTCTTCTGTGTTAAGTTATTAGAGCACGTTTTCCTTGATCATTAGACATATTAAAAGAAGAAATGAGATTTATTTAGTGTATTTTATTTGCAGATAAGGAAATAAAGCTGCAGAGAGAGAATTAACATGGGAACCAAGCATTTGTGGAAGAAAGGTTATCTTTTCATGGCTGAAGAGGAAATTGTTTGATGATGCTCAACAGTCATCAACTATTGTTTGTTTCTTAATGTGCATGCTTTTGGATTTATGTCCCTTTTTTTGTTTCTCTACTTAAAAAAGTAAAAATTAGAGCACTTCTAAAAAGTTAGAAGTAGGCCACTTTTTTTTTTTCTTTACAGAAAATCATGAATTAAAATACTTCTTTTATAATACAAAGTTATGTATATCTGGCTTAATTTTAGAAAGGAGTTGGATTTCATTTGATTTCATTTTCAAATGGGATTTGGTGACTAAAAAGGGATTAGATTTACAAACTTTCACTTTAAATCTTATTTTTTTGAAAAAAAAGTGTGAATAAGATTTCACACTATCAAGAACAATCTTGAAAAGTCTATTTAATTTAGGTAAAATTATAATCTTGATCTTATAATTTATAAACAAAGTCATTTAAATTTCAATTTGAAGTTTAATCATTGATTATGTGATGTGAAATAATAGCGTCAACATGCCATATTAGCATTGCTCTCGCGTGGGAATTGTAAGTCTATGAGCTATCTGATTTCATCAAGTGAACATGAAGTTTTTATATTAATCACATACATTAGTAGTTTTACTTCAACAAATACTATTTCCAATTCGTTAGATTCTTCGAATTTCTTCTCAATAATGTAATAATCTTCATTGCATTTGATTCTATAAACAAACTTTGATTACCAATTTCTGCTGCAATCATGAGCCTCTTGAATGGTTAGCGCTTCAACAGTTAAATAGATAAATTATAAAGATTCAGACACTAAACTTATAATTTCAACCATTTAATTATTTATATATTCAAATACAACATTTTTTAATATGGAATTTTGAAACATGTAACCTAGAAGATGTATTTGGTGGCCAAACCATTAGCTATCAATCATTTTATAATTTAAAAGCAAATTTTCTTCATCTAACCGAAACTTTATGCAAAAGGAACCTTTCTTTTTAAGAGAATGTAACGGCATTTCATTGAATCACGTGGGTGGGATGAATCCGATAATAATCCCCAAAAAAATGAATAAAAAATAACAGAAAAGACGACGTTTTGTTTTACGATATATAGTTTATAAATTATAATATTTGTGATATTTCTCATTTTAGTTGCTAATCTTTTGATAATCTCAATAATTTCCAATTATATCATTTAGTTAAAAAAAAAATTGTTAAAATTTGTTATCATAAAACAACGTATCATTAAATTATTATTTTGTTGACATGTTAATTGACATGTTAGATTTTGCTAGTAGAAGTGTCAAATAACATTTCAGTAATTTGATTACATGCAATTTGAATATAACTCAACAATTAAAACATATATCTCCGAATTTTGAGTTTGAATCTTTATTCCATGTTATTGTGCTAAAAAAACATGTTCAGATGTTACTAAAACAATAATTTAATGATTTACAAACAAATTATCGATAAATTGAAAATCTTAAAAGATTGAACACTAGATTAAGAGTTGAGATCTGAAAAAGTAGATCGTTGAACTATATTGTTATCGTTGTGAGTGTGAATGCAAGTGGTAAGTGCCGAGTAGGGTAATTTGACTCGGAAGCGTCGAAAAGGGCAGATGGGTAGGGCGAATAATAAGAAGAGCATAACATAACAAAATTAATAATACCAAAGCAATGCCTTTCATTTCATGTCATTGTCGGCCTCGGCCCCTCACCACTACTGATTGGGCATTCCAATTTCAACGTTCCCGTACCTCCGGGCTCCAGTTCCACCGCCCCATAATTCTCAAAACCTTCCAAATCCAAACATTATGGCCGACTTTACAATCCAAATAGGAATTTATTCCGTTCATCTTGTATAGTAGAAATTTTCTAAAACTGAATCAGAAATGTTTCGATGTTATTTACTAAGATTAACTCCGAAAACGATATAACCGTTGTATAACCAATATACCTAATATGAAATTGAGAGAAAAATCGAATCAATGAAAAATATCCAATCAAATACTACACGCTACTTCCATTGATTTGTTGAACAATGAACATCAGAGATGACAAATCTAAACATATTTCAATTCATTAAAGTACATATCTCCAATCAAAAAGTAGTAAGTTCGAATCCTGATCACATATTTTGGAAAAAGCAACAATATTTTGTACTTAAAAAGGAAAGAAAAAAAAAAGCAACATCGGAAATGACAACTGTATGGACCCAGATTTGATCTGGGCCCGAAGGCCGAGATTCACAGGTCCACTTTTTGAGATGAGGGCCCAACCCAGTCCACCTTCTTTCTTGGTTCCTTTCATTTTCAAGCCTAGGCAAAATAATAGCAATGGTAATAAAATACTGGACAACCTGAAAAAGGTGAAATTACCTCATGAGGTCCATGCTTTTATTTAAGAATTGGTTGTTTATTTATTTGTCAAGAGAGTCATTCTTATAAGCTATTATTAAAGTTAAGTTATTATGAAAACGATTAAATAAATACAAATATTTATTCAAACTACTTGATGATATGTTGGCATGGTTTCAAGTGTGTGGCAAACAATAACAACGAGGGAGAAAATATTAAAATATATATACTTTATGAACGATACTCAAATTTATACATATAATGTTAAAAGACATTTTACAGCTGACTTTTTAAGATTCAATTCATTATCTTTTATCGAATTTTTTGCACATATAATAATGTTTTGTGAACATATGATATTACAAACATCCGTGGGACCTTTACACCACTCCAAGTTATTTTAAAATCTGAACTCCATCAATTATAATATAATTAGATTAGAAGAAGTTTAATTCTAATTTAGATCCAATCTAGCACACTTAATATCAATATTTAAGATAAAAGGGTAAAATTCACATACAATTTAAAGTGATGGGGAATTGCTTTGAACGGTTGGCTTTTTTTTTTGGTTTAGAATGTTAATAGTCTGACTTGGTGTTCTTTGTTACATTAAATTGAAGTTTTTTGGTTCTTTTTTCTTGAATTTATTAGTGACGTTTGATGATGTTAATGATCCAGGGGTTGAAGTGAAGATCTGGGAGTAATGGCTAAAGAGGGTTCCAATGGAAATTCCAATATCTCTTCAAAACCACCACCAACTCCATCTCCTCTGAGAAGTGCCAAATTTTTTCAGGTATCATTGTTTAGTTTTTTGTTTACTGYATGTTCTGTGTTTGGTATTATGTTTAAAGTTGTTAATGAAGAAATATTGCATTAGAGTAAGTACTAAAGTTTGTTCTTTTCATTTGTTCTGTGCAAAAGTTTGGCATATTTCTTTSGTAATRTACAATGTTTTCGTGTATTTGTCGAACCGTCTTGTGATCGGGTTGGAATCCAACAGAATAACATGGGAGGAGCCTGTTATTGTTTAGAGCTGTTGGGTATTACTTTGTATTTGTTTTATAATTGTGAACTGAAAGGTTGATCTTATGAAAATTGGAGTCTAAAATTTGTATTAATAGTATGGGGGAGGATTGTGAGTGTTGAGAAAACATTGCATTGACCTGAAATGGAGATTTTGGATCAAAATAAATTTGAATCTTATTCAAGGTTTTAAATATAAATACATTTATGTGGACATTACCATAAAATTGAGACCTTGATATTTACGTCGACATCAAAATTTGTAAACTTTGATCTTAATAGAAGAGTTTTTAGTTTCTTAAACGGATGATTTGTAATGGCAAGTGCAAGCCTTTCCCGTGTCTCGTATTTTACAACAGCTTGGGTCCTTTTTGTAATCCGTACAGCCACATTTGGTGGATGCTTTTATTTTCTTTTCCTTGACCTCTTATTCAGCAAGGTTCATTTCCTTAAACCAATGTTTTGATCTTTGACAACAGGCAAATATGAGAATTTTGGTGACTGGAGGAGCTGGGTTCATTGGCTCGCACCTTGTCGACAAATTGATGGAAAATGAGAAGAATGAGGTAGTTTCTTCTCATTTATAGTGTGTCGGGTTGTTCGTTGTGGAAACATCATGTATAGCAGAGTCAAGATTTACAATCCCGGGAACATGTCGGTTACATTGACACTCTGTTCATTTTGTTTTCTTTTCTTTTTAGGTTATTGTTGCGGATAACTACTTCACGGGATCGAAAGATAACCTGAAGAAATGGATTGGCCATCCTAGATTTGAGCTCATCCGGCATGGTATTCCTTCTTTTTCCTCTCTTTTCTGGTTTAATGTTACTCTGTGGCTTGTGAACTTTCTCTTCTCTGTTTTTCCTGGTTGACACTATCCCTCAATTTTTTCTAACTCAGATGTCACTGAGCCATTGTTGCTTGAAGTTGACCAAATCTACCATCTCGCTTGCCCGGCGTCTCCAATTTTCTACAAGTACAACCCTGTAAAGGTTTGTATACAATCGTTATATGCTTTTTATGTTGAAGCTTCTTTTTGTTTCAATTAATTAATGGAGCATCGGTCATATTGTGAATTCTTGGCGATGATCTGACCGTCGATTGGTGCTTTGACAGACCATAAAGACGAATGTGATTGGCACGCTGAACATGTTGGGACTTGCCAAGCGTGTCGGAGCAAGGTTTTTGAGATTACCACTCTATCTCTCAATTCATAAATATTTTTCTGTCATGTTATTCACTGACCCGGTTGTATAGGATTTTGCTTACCTCGACATCTGAGGTGTACGGAGATCCTCTCATTCACCCTCAAGATGAAAGCTACTGGGGAAACGTCAACCCAATTGGTAATTTAATTCAAATATGCAACTAATATCTTCTTTAATTTGTCCTTGAACGACTGTAAATTTGGAATGATGTGAATTCATAGTATTCTCATATGTGCAACGAAGGAAAATACATTCAACAGTTAATGATTCAGTCTGCTGCAATATTGCATGGTGATGTGTGTGTTAAACTTTTGCAGGCGTGAGAAGTTGCTATGATGAGGGCAAGCGAGTGGCCGAGACTCTGATGTTTGATTACCACAGGCAACATGGGATCGGTGAGTTTTTCGGATCAAACGTACTAATCCAATCAAGACTCCCTTTTTCTGTGCAATTGCTTACCGTCTCGAAATGAACATCTGTAATTGCAGAGATCAGGATTGCAAGGATTTTTAACACCTATGGACCCCGGATGAATATAGACGATGGTCGTGTTGTCAGCAACTTCATTGCCCAAGCAATCCGGTAAGTCTAGTCCTCATCCAATCTTCTCGTGCAAGTAGTGTCATCATTCATCCTCGTGGCTTATACTTAACGAGAAGCTATCGTTTATCATTATATCATGCAGAAATGAGCCTTTGACAGTTCAATCACCTGGAACACAGACAAGAAGTTTCTGTTATGTCTCTGACATGGTAAGCAAGTCTTGGCTCTGGTTCGGGTTTGTTCGTGGTTAGAATTCGAACATTTTTACCAATGATCAGCTTTTTATGTCCTAATTTTGAACTTATGCATCAAGGTTGATGGCCTCATTCGACTTATGGAGGGCGACAACACGGGACCAATCAACATCGGAAACCCAGGTCTTCACTCATTTTTCTGCTCGATAAGTTTAACTGCGCCTTTTCGCCTTGACTAATCCTAAACCCTTTCCTTTTAATGCGATTCAGGTGAATTCACAATGCTTGAACTGGCCGAGACCGTAAAGGAGGTAAATTTATCAACTTAAAGTTATTCTTCAATCACATTTTTTTCCCCAATGACAAAAGAGATTCAAAGCTCTCAACTGTAATTGTGCAGCTCATCAATCCTGGTGTGGAGATTATCATGGTGGAAAACACTCCCGATGATCCTCGCCAAAGAAAGCCCGTCATCACGAAAGCGAAGGAGCTGCTCGGATGGGAGCCGAAGGTCAAGTTGAGGGATGGACTTCCTCTCATGGAGGACGATTTCCGAACCAGACTCGGAGTCCCGAGCAAGAACTGAGCCATAATAAACAAGTAGAAAATGTTGTTGGTTGGCTGGAGTGAAGAGTTTTCAAGAGATTGCTTGTGAGTTACTTTGAAGAGATTGTTGATGAGGCGTTGTTCTTTATCATCTCGTTATCTTTATTTAGAATAAGTGACATTCAGAATTTTACTATATGATCTTACTCCGAAGAAGAAGAAGAAAATACATAAAATCTCCATTGTGGTGTTCAACACCTAATGAAATCGATAGTTTGTATTAAACTGAAATTGTTTGGTTAGTTTTTATTTTTTATTGGTTTGATTCCATTTTATTTTTACCAAAAATTTATTACAACCAATTTGAACGAGACCCTGCATATTGAATATTCAATCATATTGTGAATCTTCTTAAATATTTCAAATTATTTAAAATTTAAGTTAAATTACAAGTTTAGTTGAATTATATCTAATCTAATTTGAACTCCCAATTTTTTTAATTATGTGTTAATTAGGTTCTCAAATTTAGAAGTATTTAGTGTCTTTTAATTTTTTAATTTTTTAATTTTTTTGCCTAATAGCTTTCTAAAATTTTAATCTTGTACCAATTAGTCTTCAACGCATCTAACACTTTTTAAAATTTACATTTATTTGATACAATTAATATTTAAAATTCATAGAATTATTAGACGTGTGACAAAAAAATTGGAAGTTATTGGAGGTTGAAAGTTTATGAACGTGTAATTTAACCTAATTTATTTAATTAGAATAATTATTCGAGTTCAATATCTTTTAGAAAGATAAATTAAGATTGAAGTTAATGGGCATGCTTCTTTTGAACAATACTTCCTTGGATGGTACGGATTCTTTGTCAACCAGGTGGCAAAAATTTTCTATTACCGCTACTAAAGTTTTTTCAAGTAAAAAAGAAAAGTCTCTCCTCAAACTATTCCCTATCAAAAACTTGAAGAAGAATATCAAAAAAATTGGAGAAAATATTATCCAAGAATTTCCCTTTTGAACCAAACTTATTGAAGCATTTGGTTGGTTTAGTTCCACCTTTTAAAGTATATTGAATTGAAACGAGCAATTTGAATGATTTGGTCGGAAATCACATTAAGCTCAAATTGATGTAGAACCCTACTTTTCTTTTTCTTTTCTTTTTCTGGATAAGAGATGCATGTATTAAAAACTCAAAAACAAAGCACACCTAAAAGCGAAGGGTGGAGATCAATCCCCCGTCCTCAAAAACTAGACCGGAGTAGTTGTTCAAGTAGGGTTGTACGTCAAAAAGTAGGGTTGTTTACGTACAACCCGACTTTCGAAGGGCAAAACATGGCTCAATAATAGTTTCATACTCAATTTCAATTGTAATGAACAAACTATATCTGATATAATGCTTGTTAAATACTCTCCTATGAAAGGAAAAACAGTGTCAAAATGGAAAAGCAGAGGATGAGAGAGAGCACTTGAAATTTGAGGGCATGGTTTAGGCTTCTGCCACCCCTTGTGCTATTTTCTTCTTACTTTTCACTGGTTTTTTAGGAACTTCATCTTCATCACTACCAGTGGATTGTTCAATCCTAGCAAAAACTGGATTTGGAGGAGCCATGACCTGGCCAGCCTTCAGCCCTCCCCACTTTGTCTCATTCTACATCCAAAAACCACATTATCAGTCACTAGTAATAAAAAGAACTGATATCAAACACACAAGTGTGAAAAGAGAAACAGACCCATGTTGCAGCTTCAAACTGGTCCTTCGAGAACCCGAGTTGGGCGTATATTCTCCAGCCTAAGCATGGAGTCACTGGGGATAGTGCAACGGCTATGATTCGCATTGCTTCAAGTATAAGTACAAGGTCCTGTTGAGAAAACCAAGGCAGATGGTTGTCAGAGAATGGTTTCTTGTATGTTGGAAGGAAAAGTTGATCGAGAATTCGCATCCGAGATCATGATCGTGAAGAAAGATGGGTTCTTGAACTGAACAACCTTTGCAGCAGCGTCTGAAGAGGCACCACCTTGCTTGAATAGAGACCATGGCGCTTGCTCATCCATGTAAGAGTTTCCAGCATTGCCGATCTCCAACACAGCCTCACAAGCCGATGAGAGGGAGAGTCCTTCGTAATGATTTCGAGCTTTCAGAACCTACCAGGCACACAAATAAAATCAACATAGTTTGCAAAAATTCATGAACATGTCAATCACGAAGTCATAAATGGAGGGACACACAGACAATATCAGCACCACGATGGATTCAGTGCCTTTCACAATAGAGATTCAAGAGAAGATTTCAGGGTCTACTAATTCCACGCCATCTCAAATAACAAACAACAACGTAAATTCAGAGCAAACTGTTACCAGCTCTTCAACTTTGTCCTTAAATGAATTTCCTTCAGCTGCAGCAGTAGAATCAACCACCAAAGTTGATTGGCAGTTCTTCTTAAGGAGTCCGAGAGTTCGGTTCAGCAGATTTCCTGCAGAAGAAACATCGAGAATTATGTTGTGTCAAACAGAAATCTCCCTCAAGCCCCCAAGTGGTGGTCCTCGTTGGCAAAAGCTTTGGATCTCTGGATCATACCGGCCTAGAAAATGTGAGCTTAATACCAAAAACTCTTGATGTCTCCCAAATATGGTCCTTGGAGTGGGCACAACCCACAGGTGCCCCCAAGTTTAGGGAGGCTCGACTCCCGATTATTAAAAAAGAAAAAACAGAAGTGTACAGCAAAAGTGCTGTAATTTTCCAAACGGAAGGAATTACGGTTTATAAATACCTATTGTATTTGCAAGATGTGCATTGACAATATTGATGAAACGATCCTCAGCATAGTCCCCATCACTACCGAATTCCACCTCTTGAAGGAAGAAGTATCTCACTGCATCAGAGCCAAACTTTTGAACCAATTCATTTGGTTCGAGAGTATTGCCTAATGACTTGCCCATCTTCATCCCATCCTATAATGTTAAAGCAAAAAGAGTTGCTGCATGAAATAATAACGAAGTATTTGTGCCTCTGCAGAGATTCACTGGTTCAAGCTTCTTTGTGAACATGAAGCTAAAAGTCAAGGAATCCAATTGTTGGAAGTGTTTGGTTAGGAGGGGCATTGAATGTTGCAACTCCAAGAGATTCAATAAGATTCACAAGACAATCAAGACCCTTTATAATTCACAAGATGCAATAATATTAACATTATATACTATAGCAATGGTGACAAGTTAATTTGATTCTTTATAGACTTCGTCAATTTGACAAATATTAATTCTCTTCTGCATCAATTAGAGTTCGACATATCATGGCCAACTAAATTCCTTTGTAGTAAATTTAGGAGGCCAAACATAATACCTTTGTCAAGAACCCATGGCCGAAAACCATCTTTGGGAGTTTTAGTCCAGCAGACATGAGCATAGCAGGCCAATAAACTGCATGGAAACGTAAAATATCCTACAAAAAAGAATGACAAAAACATCAGATCGGCATCCTACAGACTGAGCTTGCACTCAGTAAAGAAAAGAAAAGGGAAACAATCATCAGAACCTCCAGAATACAATAATAACACAGAAACTAGAGTTGATTCATAATTTCACTTCTTGCTATATTCAAGAGAAATATAGTAGAAAAGACATAATCTGAAAAACAGATGGAGAGAGAGAGAGAGAGAGAGAAGTTTTCAGCTAGGGCCAGATAAGTCTACGTACAAAGAACAGGAATGTGTCTCTTACCTTCCCAATCAGGTGTAAAGAGGCAGGCCAACCCGAAGCCACGGCCCTTTGTAAATTCTGTTGCTGACCATTCTCTGATAGTGCTGATATATAACTACATTATGGAATTCTCATATAGTTAAGATTAAAGACAGACTATAGCAAAATGGTGCATAGTTGTTGCAAATTTACATAAACCGTATGTTTGTACTGGATTGTGATGAAGAGCTAAGAAGTAAATAAATAAAAAAAGTTGGCCATAATCATAAAGGCTCAAGAAGTCACGATATATAAGACATTACAAAAACATAGGGAAGATATTACCCTAATAATGCATCAAACCAAACATAAATCGTTTGCTTCTGATCATTGGGAACTGGAATTCCCCATTCAACTGATGCTCTGGAGATAGAGAAGTCTTTCAGGCCACTTCTAATCCAACTTTGCACCTTGGAAGATATGGTGCTGAATTAATCAAAGGATGATTCACGATCGGCAAGGTGGAAAAAAATTGTAACAAATAATAGAACTGACATTCTGTTGTAAGAAAAAATTCGTATATAAATACAATATCAAATTAGATCAAAGAGATTTGATGAGCAATTAGAAGAATTACATTTAGTTTAGGTCATACTAAATGGTAGACCTTGAAGGCTTGAATAATAATAATTTATGGTATATATGCATGGAGTTCTATATTATCACTCTTAGCAAGTCAATCTACAACTACAATTGATCATTAAATAAGTCAATCAACTTCTTGTTTATTGGTATCACAATAAAAGTTCTATCAGAATTAGGGTTTGGAATCACACTGTTTCTCAGGTTTCCTTTGGGGGCTTCTTACTAATAGTTTTTTTTTTACTTCCCATTGTTTTAAAGTTCAGCTGATTTGAACGCCTTTTTGTACGCTCCAAGCCATTTGTTTCTCTTGGATTTAACATCAGTTCCGACACAAATATATTTGATCCGGAACTTTTCAAAGAAAATTATGTAATGCAGTACTTTAGGAGAGAAGTAACAAATTTCACACATAAACACACACACAAGTAGAAAATCCCCTATAGTCACCTCATTCAAACGGAAGGCGGGCTGCACAAAACCTGGATTCTGTGTTAAAGTTTCTTCAAGCAACCCTTGATATTTTGACAATGCAAAAAAGTAATTGTCTTCTTTCCTTGAAGCACAGGGCTTCAGGTGTATAGGACAACAATTGTTGGCAAGGAGTTCTTTTTCATCCTGCAGGTTTATAAATGGAAGCTCTTACAAAACTCAAGAGAATTCGTGCATACTATACCTTCAAAATTGTAGAAATAACTACTGTTAAATGCATCCATACCCCAGGAAAATAGTTATTGGAAAAGCAGAGTTAGGTCAATATATTATCATAATTGAGGAAAGAAGCAATGTTAACAATAAAACGAAATTTGGCGCACAATTATCATATGAATCCAAATCCAAAATTTTCAAATGGGTAAAGGGAGGAAGACAAAAAGTTAAAAAAAAAAAAAGGTAAAAAGAACACCTTGTATTCTTCACAATTGACACAATAAAGTCCCTCATAGTCAGCTCTATAAATATCGCCATTGGCAAGAACCTTGGAATAAAATTCCTTTACAATTGCCTCATGTTTAGGATCAGTTGTTCGAATGAACTTGTCATAAGCTACATCTAGCTGCAAAGGGGAAAAAAGGAAGAAAAAGAATAAGAATGTAATAATACTATGAATAATTTCAAATATCTAATAAATGAATTACAGCAAACTGAGAAGAAAATCCTGTGATGTGTTTGGACTACATCTTTCCAGAGTGTCTTGTATGCCTCTGAAATGGCATCACAATGTTCACTTGGGGCAGAACCTTGAGCAGCAGCAGCTGTGGCAATCTTCTCCCCATGCTCATCTGTCCCAGTAATGAATATAACTTTCTTCCCTAGCAGCCTCTATAATTATATTTGACACCAGAGGTTAGCCAAAAATTAGCATAATATTCCGAGGAAACTGGCTATAAGCATGGTGAAATAGTTCTAATCAAACACCGGAATTTGCCAACTAGTAAGCTATACGAGAAATCAACTCTATAGGACATACCAAAACTTATTGACCATTTATAATATCCCTTAGAGGAAGACTGCAACAGTAACTGAGGAGCATTGGTTCTAATTTGCACAAATGATATATTTGTTTAATTTGTAAACTTAAAGTTCAGTTCTTCTAAACAAATCCAACTATAAAACAAATTGTTAAAAGCATCTTGCTACACAATCAAATTTCAGCTAGACCCTAAGTAAATTAATTCTTGCTACACACTCCCATGCGGCAAGGTAGGGACTTAACTTTTTTAATTCAGTTAGGAGCGATTAATGGTAAAACTGTATTCCAAAATTTCAGTTATTAACAATCGTAAGCAGCAGATATCAGAAAGAGAGAGGTGTGAGAATTGAAACTCTCAACGTTCTTGCTCTCAAATACAGGCTGTGATATAATGAAACATACAAAGAAAACAGGTAGAGAAGTCAATTATGGTGACAATATATTCGATTTCAGCTACCAAGTACCGACAAAAAAATAACCAACAAATGAGAGGAACAAAAACTACTCAGAGCTTATTCAAGCAAGCGATATACAAACGCCCCATCTAATTTGTAAAAGCAAAAATTAAACGAACAGCATGAATATTATAGATTAAGAAGAAGAAAAAAAACCTGAAACCGCGCAATGGCATCAGCGGCAATGGTGGTATAAGCACTCCCCATGTGAGGAGCAGCATTAACATAATAAAGTGGTGTTGTGATGACAAAGGGGTCTGTTGCGGCTCCGCTTTCATGGGAATTGCAATTGCTCGCATAGGTACAGAATATAGCTCGTTTTGATGAAGAAGCAGAATAAGATGGGGAGGGCAACAGATTTCGATAGAAATTGAGGCGGGTTCTGAGATTGAGATTGAGATTGAGATTGAGATTGAGAGAACTCTGCAAAGGGTTTAAGAGCCAGAGAGAACTTTGTATGGAGGAGTTTATTCTAGCCGCCATTTTTTTTTTCTCTTCAAGCAGAGGGCTCTCTCTGCGTGTTGGCTTTGGCTTGGTAGTAGCTAGCCACTGGCTATTTTGGTTGCCATATCCGATTGTGTTTTCTGAGTTCCGAACCGACTCACAAGTCTTCAAACCATTATTTAGAATATTGATAATAAGTTTTTTTTTTAATATCATAATGATAATAAGTTAATTATTTTTTTTAAATGAAAGATAAAAGTTAATTATTAATTTATTATTAGGGTTGGGAAAATCCAACCAAAATTAGGAGGTTCATTATTCCACAGGAATAAGACATGCAGTGGTCTTGAACAGGGCAGAAAATCCTCATTTAGGCTATAGAGAGATCGGTAAGGATAACGAATGCGGAGCCCGCCAAATAGGCGGCAGGAGCTGTGGGCAAGTGCTTGGTAGGCCAACAGCCTAGTGAACCGGGCAAGACACCTGGGGCACACTGAACAAGTACGAGAAATTGGCCCCACTCCGCTTTATTAAAAGCAAAGACCAATAGGAGAGGTCAAACCAAGGACCTATGCAAGTCGGGGCTCGTCTCCAGTCAATATTAGATCAAACAATAGGGGGTCGTAGCACTTACCTCTTTTTTTATTGATTCAATACAATTACGGAAAAAGATTGGAGACAAGAGAAAGTCTCAACGGATCCTCCGTGCACTAGGCATACCTCTTTTGTGCATCTTTCTCGTGGCGAGAACAGAACAACAGGGAAAAACCCGCCCGACCCGCCTTTGACTATTAAAAGCTCGAGAGCGAGCTTTATTTAAGAGAGAATTGAGAGTGAATCGAATCTTTTTTCGTTATTGGTTTGGTTCGGACTCCTCTTGATCTTATTCCTCGTCTCCATTCCTATCATGTCCATCCCTTTTTTAAATCAATATATATTAAAAAATTATAAGCATTTAATTTTGTTCTTTAAAGTTTTAAACAATAATTATTTAAGAATCTTGCAGAAAAAACATTTTTGAATTTAAAACTTATTTATAAAAATAACACTAATGCGTGGGAAATTATACATTTTTCATGCCCTATTTGTGAACTATGGGTGAGCAAGCACAATTCTTGAGCCGACAGACTAATCGAGATTGGTCGGTTGATTTTAAGGGGGCGTCAATTGATGGTCGATTATGAAAATTCACAACCGAATATTCGATTGATCGATAAAAAACTATATATTTTTTCTTTTTAGATTGCGTGCCTAGAGCTTCTCCCTTCATTGTTTTCACTTTTTTAGTGGTGCACGGTGTCACGGTCGTACATTTTTCAACCGTGCGGCGCCATGATCTAAGCTAGACCATGGCCAGCCTTACGAGGAACTCTAGCTCCAATCCACTTTTCACGCCCTTTCGTGGCTTCGTCGGACCTTAGGCGAGGTTCTTTCTTCCTCGACCGAGTTTCACTTACAGCGGAATTCTCCCTTGACTCGGCAATGCACGTCGCCCGTACGTGCATTTAAACTCTAACGCGACTCTAGCCGGCTTGCCTCTACACTAGGCCAAGTCCCACGGCTCTACCTTGCCTCTA